GACGCCGCGACCTGCCGCCCCCGCCGCAGCCGGATCCGAGTCTTGGAGGCCGTGGAAGCGGGGGGGCTGTGGGAGCTGGGGGGCCCGTGGATTCTGGGGGGGGATGGAGACCGCAGATGTTCGCAACGATGTTCGCCACTCGCGAGGTTGTGGACGCCGCTCTTCGTGCCGAGCGCCCGCCGGACAAGATGCCAGACCTTCCTCACTGCCTCGCCAGCGACCTCCGAGTGCCGAAAACGTTGAAGGAGGCCATGCGGTCTCAACATCCAGAGTTGTGGGATGCTGCAGTCGGTCGAGATTTTTTCGGTTTGTTGGATGTAGGAACTTTTAGTCCGGTGTAGCAACCAGTAGAGAACGCGATCAATGCCAAGTGGGTCTTCAACTGTAAGGCAGACGAGTGCGGATGGCCGACGAAATTGAAGGCAACACTTGTAGCGCGGGGGGACATGCAGAGGGCTTGGATTGATTTTGAAGAATTGTTTGCACCCACCGTACCAGTGTCCAGTGTGCGCTTGTTGGCAGCATTAGCATGCGAGCAGAATCTTGACTTGTGCCATTTCGATATTCAGCAGGCTATTGCGCAGTCTGAGCTTGATGAGGATGTTTTCATGCGCTTACCGCAGGGGTGTGGTAGGTTATCTGGCCTGATCTTGAAGCTGTGCAAGAGTCTGTATGGCTTGAAGCAAGCATCACGACATTGGCATGCGCACCTGACGAGGTGTTTGTTACTTTTAGGTTTATTGCAGTGTCTGGCGGATGCATGTGTTTTTCGATTGATGGAGGAGGGAAATGTGGTGATGATCATCGTGGTCCACGTGGATGACATTTTTGCTGCAGGGCAGAAGGAGAGATGTGACAAGTTTGGCAGGGATCTCAACGAGATGGTCCCCGTGAAGAACCTTGGAGAGTTGAGGTGGTACTCCGCGTGCTTTTACGAGAGAGACGTAGAGAGAGGGCTGTTGAAGATTTCGCAGCAGAGGTTTGCCGAAGAGCTGGCTGCAGAGTATGGCGTTGAGTAGAGGCAGAGTGTGCCTCTGGCTGTTAGCGTAAAGCTCTCCGACTTTGACGTGAATGAAGCGAGTGCTGATGTTCCTTTTCGCGAGTTGGTAGGATCTCTGATGATGTGGTTGGCCACTCAAACACGGCCGGACATTGCGAATGCAGTTCGAGCAGTAGCGCGGTATTGCGCGTCTCCCAAGATGGTGCACTGGACGGCAGCACTCGGTATTTTAGGATACGTACGCAGGACGAGTTGGATGGGGATTACATTTGAGAGGGGCGTCGTGACAGGTATGAGCATGCAGGTGTTTGTGGATGCCGACAATGCTGTCTACTGCTCCGTCGTCCCCTANAGGAGGTCGGTGTCTGGGGGGCTAGTGATGTGTGGGGGTGGGAGTGTGACTTGGTTTTCACGAACGCAGAAGTGCGTTACGCTTTCCACCACGGAAGCAGAGTATGTATGTGGCAATTGCCAACGTCTTGAAGGAAGTGTTGTTCTTGAGGCAGGTGTGGCGTTTTATGTTGCCAGATACGAGTATGCCGTGCATCCCGGTGTTCGAGGATAATCAGGGAGCGATTCAGATTGCGCACAACCCGATCACGAACTCCATCTCGAAGCACATCGATGTACGGCATCACTTTATCAGGGAGCTGGTAGAGATTTCAATTACTTATCATGTGCCGACGCAATTTCAGCATGCAGATTTCTTGACGAAGGCTATCAGCAAGGAGTCTTTTGCGTTGCACCGTGACTTTGTGATGAACTTGCAGTGTAGGAAGCGTTTTGGGGTCGATTCCATTTCTGTAAGTGAAGAGAAAAAGAGAGGAACGAGATTGGACAAGAGAAAGAGAGAGTCTNCAGGAAGAGTTTTGGGGTCGATTCGTATTCTGTAGCGGAGAGAGGAAGAGAGAGACGATATCGGACAAGAAAGCGAGAGAGTCTGATGAAGGCGGTAAGGGTGTTGGAGTTGTGTTGGGATTTATCTTGTTTGTTTTGGAGGAGTTGTAGTTGTGTTGGAATTTTTCGTGTTTGTTTCGGAGGAGTTTTGGTTGTGTTGGAATTTTTCTTGTGATTGACTTGGGAGGGTTCCTGCATGTTTTGGGGAGGATATTGGATTGGATGCTTTGAGAATTTTCTTGTTTGTTTTGGGAGAGATGGTAAAAGAGGAATTTGTTTTTGGCCGAAGCATGACGATGCATATGAGCAGGGGGGCTATTAGATATATTGGGGGGTACTCGTAGCATAGTATGACGGGTACGATCTTCAGTACGTACGTACGGAAATTGCAGTGATGAGATGCGGAGGAATCAGCGAGATCCGTTCGGTAGTTTGAGCGAGATGAGCGTGACGCGTGCTTGATTCCGTGACAGATTGACGAGCACGAGCACGCCCCCGAAGAATACAATACGTTTTCCTATACGTCCCTCCCCTACCACGGCCCGTCATGGCCCAGCTGCTCTACACTCCCAACACACAGAACTGAGCCACCCGAATTATCGATCACATCGTTGCCGCGGCTGACGGAAGTGGTGGAACCTCTCCGACGCTTGCTGGAGGAGCACATGGCGTCGGCACCACGTCGAACGAAAAGGACAATGTCTAATCGTGCGATTAAGAGCGAGGTGTGGACGGCCGGCATGGTTGAGGCGTGGACATCGGCACAGGATTTGGTGGCAGATGCGGTGGCGTTGTCAAATCCGAAGGATGGTTTTGCTATGCTGATGTTTCCCGATGCGTCTGAAGAGCATTGGGGTAGTTTATTGACGCAGGTGCCACAGGAAGAGCTGAAGCGCGGAGTGTCCGTTGAACATATTACCCACGAGCCTCTCGCCTCCCTCAGTGGTACGTTCAAGGGCTCTCAGATGACGTGGGCGACTATTCACAAAGAGCGTTTCGCCATCGTTAGCACGTGCAAGCGGCTGGACTACCTGCTGTGGGGCGGTGTTCATGTATACACCGACCACCGCAATCTCGCGTACATATTCAATCCTGATGCGTGCATGTCGTCGTTGCCAAAGACTACTGCCCAACGTCTGGAGCACTGTAAGATGGTGTTGGCGCAGTTCCAATACTCCATCATGCACATCTCTGGCGAGGTGGGTCAACGTTCCTGCAGTGAAGGTTAGGGCTGTGGCTGTGTTTACGCCGAGCGAACCTGACGACACGATGCCGTCGAAAGAGGTTATTCGTCGAGTTCAGCACAGTGCGCGCGAACAAGTCAGAACTAGGGCGCATGGAGCGGAGGTTTTCATGGCGCAGCATGTAAAGGCCGTAAATGATGGCGAAGGAATTTTTCGAATCAAGGTGAAGGGCGCGAGGTCATGTGGATTCCTGAACATGCCAAAGAACTACAACAAAGTCTGATGGCCTGTGCTCATATGCAAGGCGCGGGACATCGGGGTACGGTCGCAACTTTGCAACGATTACAAGAGTACCGCTGTTGGTTTCGCATGGAAAACCAAGTGAGTGAAAGAGTATGTGAAACAGTGCTTGCATTGTGTAAATTCGAGGGCGGGTGAATAATTCCAAGGCCCCTTGGGGAAACAGTGCATGGTACAAGGCCGGGCGAAGTGATTCATTTTGACATTCTGTATGTTGGACAGAGTGGGCCGTTGATTGTCGATGGCTTGGATGAACGAGTTGGATTCAAATACATCTTAGTGGCAATGGATGATCTTAGCAACTTCGTGTGGTTAGAACCAACGGAGTCATGCACGGCCTAACTAACAGTCAGAATTTTGCTCAACTGGTGTGTAAGACTTTGGGTGTTCCGCGGATGTGGGTCAACGATACCGCATCGCACTTTAAGAATCAAATCATGAACAAACTCGAACAAGCTCTGAAGGTGAAGCACAAATTTGGGGTAGCAAACAGGCCACGGAGAACGGAACGGTAGAACGCATGATGAAAGAAGTTGTATGATGCCTGAAGGCGGTCTTGCAGGAAGAAAGGCGCGACTTGCGCGAGAGGGTAGATTTGGTCCCGGCTGTACAGCGGGCACTGAATACCGCTTATCGTCAACGTTACGCGATCACACCGTATCACGTCATGCTTGGTAGGGCACTGCGAACCAGTTTTTCCACGCTAGCGTTCGCGACTGGAGAAGACTGGCAAATAGACGTGCTAGATGACGAAGGGCAGAAACGAAAGGTGATTGATGTAGTGGCTATTCAACAGGAAATGCATAAACAGGTGCAGGAAATGGTCAAACAGAATCGTGAAAAACAACGGGGGCATGCTAGTCGAGGCGAGCTACCAAATTGCGGTTGGTAATTTCGTACTAAGGGCGCGGGTGCGTAGACCAGCGACGCCGAAACTCATGATGACGTGGACAGGTCCATGGAAAGTGGTCGAGGCTAAGAGTAAGCATGTATACGGAGTGCAAAACATCGTTTCAGGAGACGTGCACGGCACGACGTGCATGTAGCTCGACAAAGGTTTTATTCGGATAGCGAGTTGGAAGTGACTTCCGAGTTAAAGAATATTTTTCAGCATGCGTACACACAGGGCGAGTTCGCGATGTCTCCTATTGTAGGCATGGGTGAAAATCCTACACAGGTGGCCAGTGGGCACGGTTGTCCGGGGGCGTTGTGTAACCTCCGGCCAACGAGGGGTTATTACATGCAATAACGTGGGGGGTTACAGGCCGAGCGGGCAGAACGTGCCGGGTTCTAAAAGCGGTTATGCGCGGATTGGTGTGAAGGAGGAGAAAAGAAGAAAATATGTGTGAGCTTTCCCCTCCCTTCCATTCATCGTATTCCACTCTACCGTTGCGTTAATCAAGCGATATATCGGCAGGCAAATTTCCTCTCTTTCGAGATGAGCGCAGGAACACCACACAACGCGGAACCAGCTAACTATCTCTACAAAGTCTAACGGTGTACCGCTACGCTATATGTTGAAGCATATCACGTATTAGCCGTAAATTCCATGAATCTATAGTAATGGGGGGGGGTGTACTCATAGTCGTGCATGCCGTAGTCGTTAGACCATTGACCTCGCATCCCTACAAAGCCGGGACGGAGCACGCCGGGTTCTCACCGGACCAGGCTCTCACATCACCAAGCGCGAAGCGCCGTGAAATATTCGGCAAGTCGCATGAAGGGTGCGCTGCATCCTGCTAAAGGTGTTCGGCATCTTGTGCTTTCTTCCTTGCGTACGGATGACAGCTGCGTATGACTTAATTTATTTTTTGGTACTTCACTTCCAGAGACAGCTGTAAGCATTGTGTAACTGCCTCGAGGGTGCTTGACCATTTTTTCACAACGTGGTGCGATCATCCCCTTTGCGCGGAGTGAGGCTTCTCCACCCCGCACAACATGATCTACTCGACCACCATTCATTATAATTACCGCCAAAAAAAACAGAGGTACAATAAACGGTAACTGACCTGGTTGCCGAGTTCACGAAATGTTTTGGCTTGTTTGACAACGTCGTTGCCTACCGACGAAAACCCAATCCCGATGGCAAATACCGAGGGGGGGGCTTGTTTTACAACGTCGTTGCCAAGCGACGAAAACCCAACCCGGACGGCAAACACCGGGGATAGATAGTGATAGGGGCGGGAACAATTGTGGCAACACCACCCACGCGGCCGATAAGAGCACACCTACTCTGCCTTCCCCACCTTTAAAGCAGAAACTCCGAGTAATGTCTTCCATTACCAATCATGCAATGACAAGTTTTGGGTAAGCTAAGTTTTTATGTTCCACAGCAGCAACAACATATATACGAAGTACATAGAATTATTTAGTGTATAGCGCGCAATTCTTTTCAGTAGAGATTTTTTATCTAGTAATATTATATTCGACCACTATAAATATATATTTTAAGGAGACAGACGTACGTACGTACGTGTTGTCGTGTTGACTTTACAGAGAGAGGCAGCGTATGTTCATAGTATATCATCGCCTACTCTCTCTCTCTCTTTTTCTCAGTCCTTGCTTTGCCCCCCGATCGTTGCCGTGCGTGTTTCTCGGAACAGCAATATATATGTCAAGTAGAGTAGGCCCATGTCTATGTTGCTTCCGGCAATACATCATGATCACAAGATAAAGATTCGCTCGCACTCAAGAATTTGGCAGTTAAGAAATGCGGACTCGAAAAAAATCAAAATCAAGAGAATTGACCACATAAAAAAAAAAAAACACGTGCGTGCTCAGGCCCCACGTGGTGTTAAGAACAAGAAGGAACCTGCCTTTCTTTGTGGTGTAAGAACAGAGGCCCCACAACGCGACAGCTGCAAGATAATTAGCGCTCACGAAGGGGTGAGGGGCTACTCGTGGGGTGACTGGTGGGCAGTTAGTTGCAGATCAGAGGCGAGGAGGAGGTTTCTTTGAAAATAATGCTGGTGCGGAGATGGGGGGGTTTACTGTTAATATTTTTGCGCGTCTAACGGTAGTCGCCTGTAAAATCGGGCTTACAAATGCCGGCACTCTTGAAGCTTTTTTTTTTTATTGCGGCGAATGTCCAAAAAATCCAGGGTACACGGCGGTACCGTTTTTTTAGGCGGTACCATTTTAGGCGGTACCGAAATATGGCGGGAATTAGGCGGGAAGCGGTTTTCGTTTTTTCGGCGGGAACGCCTTTGGCGGATCCGGTACCCGTGAATTATGGCGGTACTTGCCACGGCGGTTCGCAGTACGGCGGGAACGCCTTTGGCGGATCCGGTACCCGCGAAATATGGCGGTACTTTCCACGGCGGTTTGCAGTACGGCGGGAACGCCTTCGGCGGTACCGGTACCACCAAAATCCGGCGGTACCCTTCACCGGCGGTTCGCATTATGGCGGGAACGCCTTCGGCCCTAGCTATATTATAGATATACANTTTTTGTGTGTTGGGGCTGTTCGGTGGACAAAACATTCAAACATAATAGCCGAGGATTGTACACCGTCTCTTTGTTTCGTTTTCTGGCTCGTATTTGTTCCAAGGTTACCGTTTTTTTAGGCGGTACCATTTTAGGCGGTACCGAAATATGGCGGAAAATTTTAGGCGGGAAGCGGTTTTCGTTTTTTCGGCGGGAACGCCTTTGGCGGATCCGGTACCCGTGAATTATGGCGGTACTTTCCACGGCGGTTCGCAGTACGGCGGGAACGCCTTTGGCGGATCCGGTACCCGCGAAATATGGCGGTACTTTCCACGGCGGTTTGCAGTACGGCGGGAACGCCTTCGGCGGTACCGGTACCACCAAAATCCGGCGGTACCCTTCACCGGCGGTTCGCATTACGGCGGGAACGCCTTCGGTCCTAGCTATATTATAGATATACGTTAATATATCAGGATATATGATACATTTCTGTGGCGGCTGAACGAACAGCAAGCCGTCTCTCTTATTTCACCTACATGCGCCTGTGCACACAACGAAGATGATGGATTGTGATTTTGTAGATCACAAAAGAAAAGGTTTTGAGAAGACCAGCTGGAGAAGACAAAACACAAAAGACCAGAAGCTAAGAAAAAAGACGAGACAAGAGACCAGACAAAAGGCAAANGCCGTGTTCGCTCTCTCCTCCTGTGCAACCGCGGATTTCTCTGCGCTTTTGGCGGCCATAGCTCGTGCCTGCGCAACAGCAGCGTCGTACGCGCGGACCTCAGCAAGCAGGTGCTTGTTGAGCCGGACCAGCATCGTGCGCTCGACCCTGTGCGAAAGTAGTTGCAGCGAAGGTCGCCGATGAGGTGAGCGAGCGCTGAAAAATTGCGCTCGGCCTGGCAGCTGGTGGCCTCGATCCCGAGGTGCAACCGAGCGATAAACGCCAGGTACGGCATCTCGGCCGGAGACGAAACCTTCCCAGTCGCCGCGGACACGCTGTCAGTGCCCCGCCGGTTCCAAAATCCCAGAGGGTTGAAGTCATCGACGTCGACCTGAGGCTGCTCCGCTAAGTATACCAGCATCTCTCGCTCGATCAGCACGCGCCGGCCCGCGCCGGCAGCCTTAGGATCGGTGGTGCCGCTGCCACCACCACCGCCTGCCACTGCCTCCGCCAAACGTGCAGCGCGCCGTTGCTCCAATCTCGAAGTAGGCTTCTTCTTCTTGCGAGCAGGTTCCGCGGTGTCGACGTTGACCACTGGCGCAGGCGCAGGCGTGGACGGAGCAGACTCTTGCGCGAACTTGCCGATGAACGCCTTCAAGTCCGCTTCGGCTTGGGTCTTGAGGTCCGAGGAGCCGTTTCTGAGATGTGTATCGTCCAGCGTTTTCCGCCTTGGATCCAGCAGCACGGACAATCGCTCCACCCACTGCAGCGCCTTCCCCACTCCCTTCTCGTCCATCACCTCCAGTAGCACCTGGACCACGTCCTGCGCTTCTAGGGTGAGGTCTGTCACCTGGGTCTCCGCCGTGGAGATGCCGTCCAGCGAAGACTCGTTCTGCCCCTCCCCCTCAGTTGGGATGATGCCCGCTGCCGGTGGGGGCGGCGTGACGATGGCGGACTCCACCCGGATTGGGTGATAGTCCGTCGTCAGCATGTCGATCACCTCGTTGATGATGAACGTCGCCTGGCTGAGGTGGGTGTCCGTGGCGCCTTGCATGCGGATCGTGACCTCGGAGACGGTCTCCAGGAGACTGCACACCTCGTTGGTGACGGTCCACTCGTGTGCAGTCAGCTTCCGCTTCAGCTGCTTGTTCTGGGAGTTCTGCTGGGCTAGTCGCCGGAAGTACTCGCTGATGGGCTTCTTCAAGATCAGAAGGCGACCCATCATCTTCTGCTGGCTGGTCCACCTTATTTTGCGCGACGGGGGGGAGTGGTGCGGTGTGGCGGAGGAGTCCGTTTTTTGCAGTCGTAAGGGACAACAAAACCACCCGCGCGACTTTACCGCTGCAAGCCATGAACAGAAAGAGATCTTTCCGTGCGATGCTCTGGTCAGGACTGTTTTGTTCAATTTGTTCTGTTTTTGTTGAATGTTTTTGTTTTGCGCATTTTGTTTGTACGGAGAGAAACGAAAAAAGGAAAGGAAAATAACAACAGAGGACGCAAGCTGTACTCAGCGTCGAAATACCCTGGAAATACCAAATACCAAGATACCACAAAGAAAAACGAAAAACGAAAAACGAAAGATCAGCGGTGACACAACGCAAACGAAACGAAACCACGGGAAGGCATCCCCAACAGCACACCTAGTGTCGTTTCGCCGGATGGTCTCGTAGATACGGTGAAGATCCGCCTCCAGCCGCTGGAGTTCCTTCAGCATGTCGTTGTTGACAGCAGAGTGGCTGAAGACACCGACCAACGCTGCCAGCTTCTTCATCGGCTTGTTCTTGCAAGTCGTCACAGAACCCGCAATGCCAAGCGCCCACAGTACCGCGGAGTTGACGCGGTGGCAGTTGCACTCGACGACCGGGACTCCCAACGCCGTACACGCGTTCACGACGTTTTTCCCTTGATCCACCGTGAACGCGAGGAAGACGTCCTGAGACTCGACCGATCCCCCCATCAAGTCCGTCAAGTACTCCAGCGTGAGCTGTGAATAGCGAGGCACGCAACAACCGACGGGACGTAATATAGACAAACATCAAACGAGAGGTATCACATACGCAGCAGCGATCACGTCAAAACACAAAGAAAACAGAAAACAGAATACGTACCAGCTTGTTTATTTTTAATTTTAAAATTTTACTTTCAAACAAACTTCAACAGCTGTTCGACGCAAGACAGTACCAAATAAAAAAGCTAACCTTGGAACAAATACGAGCCAGAAAACGAAACAAAGAGACGGTGTACAATCCTCAGTTATTATGTTTGAATGTTTTGTCCACCGAACAGCCCCGACACACAAAAAAAAGGCTCACCGCTTCGATCCAGGGTTTGATGTCGTCGGCAGTGTGGCTGCCCGGAAACGCTCGTGTCGCAAGCGACACACGACTAACATCCGTGTCACCCTTTTTGACGTACGACACGGCGAAAGTGATGTACTCTTCGCCGGCCACAGTCGTGAGATCTAGCTGGGCACCAAGGAAAGCTCCGCCATATCCCATGCCCAGACACTCCTCGCGCACCGACCGCAAGTCGTCCACGACAGCCTGCTTCATCCTGTCGTGCAGCGTGTCCAGCAACTTGTTGAAGGTGGTGGCGGCCATCGTGGTGTCGACGTACTGGGGTGACAGAGCGCCCACGAAGAGCTTGAAGCCGTCGTCGTACCGCATCTGCATCGGCCGCAGGTTGATGCAGCACCAGATCATGTAACGGAGGTCGGCAAACTCCCTTTGCTTCTGTAGCACCTTCGGTGCCACAAACTTGAGCATTGAAGATTGAGCTGCGCCTGCTGATGTACCCGCTGTGAAAAAACGAAGAAACAAGAAGCAACAACGAAGAAAACAAGAAACGACGAAACGAAAACCAAAAATCACAAACAAGGAAAACATGAAAAGATGAAAAGATTATATTCGTGCATATTCTATTCGTTATTCACGCTTTATTATACATATTAATAATTAATCAGTGTAATCAATAATCAATTGCAGTATTATTATATTAATTTTTATTTTGTATTTATTTCCGTTGTTTAGGCAAACAATTACAAATATTTACATGTACACTTCAAAAATTGCATTACAAATAATTTAAAATTACTGTTTTACACCCAGCAACCCTATACGTGAAGCACATCATCCACTATTATCTACTCGTACATAAAGAGTACTCCGTATATTATTGAAAAAATAAAAATAAAAAATGATTACACTCACCAATTGCCGCTCAAATGGGGGCTTTCCGCTCCTCCTCGGTGCCCCTCTCCTTCTTCGCGTCCTTCATCTCGTCCGGGTGAACCTTTTCGAGGTGCTTGGTCAAGCCAGACGTTCCCGACCCTCTCTTCTTGACTCCCTCCGCTGGAGTCCACTTCATCAAATGGTTGCAGGTTGTCCCGTCGGTCTTCTTCACCAAGCAAATGACGTTCTTGTTGTTGATGGTCGGCTCGAATCTACTCACTAACCTCCAACACCAACCCGTCAACTTCTTTTTCCCGTGATCAGGAGCCATGAGTGTGACTGTCACTTTCTGTCCTTTGTCGGTCGCGACCGTGGCTTGACTCTGAGCTGGTGATTGCAACACCGGCGTGACTGCTGTGTGGCTGGGAGCCGCCTCCGGGTGATCCCTCGCAGTCACCGAGCCGTCCACATCCACTGTTGTGNTGTCCGAAGAAGGCACCACTGAGTCGGCAGACCCCGTCTCTACACCACTACTAGGAGTAGCACTGCCACTGCTGGCCTCTGAAGCGCTCATTGTTGTATTGTTGTGTTGTTGTATTGCTTTGCTGGACCACACGCACGCTGTGAGCAGGTGTGTGACCAAAACAGGTTCTACCGACGAGGCACTTCTACCCACATTCGAACCGAAAAAAAAAGAACAAAGACAAACGAAAAAAAAAAAGAAAAAGAAAGGCAATGGGCGAGGATTCAATTCCAGTTCTTCCCTCAAGAAGGAGTATAATTAAGGAGAAATAAATACACGCACAGAAAGATAACAATTTGACTAACCGGCACTCTAGTGGTACCGTTTCGGCGGTGCTGCAGAATGGCGGTACCGTTTTGGCGGTACTGCATATTATGGGTACTAACAACATATTGGTGAAATTGAGAGCGAAGCATGAAATTGAGAGCGA